CAGGATTCTGATCACTCACAACATTGAAGTCTCCCTTGAGAAGGCGGATTACTTAGTACGACTAGAAACTGGAAGAGCGAAGTATGCTGGAAACGTCCTGGGCCTTCAAGCAAGTGGCTATCTGACACCTTTGAAAAAGAACGGGTACGAGTCTTTATTGTTGGAGGAGCAAAGTAAACAAGATGCACTTTTATCATCAACATCGAAGAAAGATATCCTGCCAGACGTGATGAATGATGAGCGTCATAGTAGCCGGGGTATCATTGCGCCTCAGAAGAAATTCATTCAGACCGAGAGGCAGGGACAGGGAGTCACCCAGTGGTCACTGCTGCGTCGATACATTGAATATAGCGGCGGCTGGCCTAGATGGCTCACTTTAGCCGGCTGTTATGTAGCATACAATCTATTAATCCTTGCCCAGGTAGGTAAAGCGAGCTAGAGCACAGTGCCGGTACATTAGAATGATGGCTGACCGGAACTAGTATTGGTGGATGAATATATGGACTGAAGGAAAAGTATCCGTCGAGAACCATGCTGAAGCGTGGCACTATTTCCGGATCTATCTTGCCCTTGCAGTGTTTGTTTGCCTGATTGGAGTACTTCGTTCCTATCTTGCTATTACGATTTCGCTTCGCGCCTCATCTGTTCTGTTCCGCCGGCTCCTACATACTATCCTCCGAACACGAATGCAATGGCTCGACACGGTTCCAGTTGGTCGAATTCTAAACAGGTTCACGGCAGACTTTTACGTCCTAGACTCTCGGTTAGGACTTGACCTGACCACTCTGCTTAACTCGGGGATGGACTGCATCGGTGTGATCATGGGTGCGGTTTTGGTCCAGCCAATGTTAGTGCTTTTCGGCATTTTGCTGCTATACGGAACGTTCTTTTACACTCGAAGATACCTCGCGGCAGCTAGAGAGGTCAAGCGCCTCGAATGTCTTGCTAGAAGCCCAATTTACGAACACTTCAGCTCCACCATGGATGGAATCATTACGATTCGAGCCTTCCAGCGCAGCCAGCATTATATTACGGGAATGCAGGAGAACATCGATAAGTATGCCCAGGCCGTATGGCATTTGGGCCTTTTCAATCAGTGGTTTACATTTAGGATCAATGCATTGGGTGCTTTGTTCTCTCTCGTGACCGCATTGACAGTAATAGCACGAAAGGACGTCACTGGCTCAGTGGCTGGATTTGCCTTGGTATTTACCAACCATCTGTGTTATGCATTGGTATCGCTCAGTCGTGCATATGCTACACTCGAGATGGACATGAACAGCATGGATCGTATACTGGAGTATACGGACCTCCCAATGGAACATGAGACCGGCCAGAACCCACCTCAGGCATGGCCAGCAGGAGGCAATCTTATTGTGAACAATCTCGCAATTCAATATAACTCGGGTCTTCCACCTGTGCTTCGCAATGTGACCTTCGAAGTCGAGCCTGGAGAACGCATAGGAATTGTCGGTCGAACTGGTGCAGGGAAATCCTCGCTAGCTTTAGCCCTCTTTCGCTTTCTAGAAGCTTCTAAAGGATCAATCTGGATAGACGGCGTTGACATATCTACTATTGGGCTCACTCACCTGCGACGAAATTTGGCGATCATTCCCCAAAGCCCAGTCTTGTTTTCTGGCACCGTGCGATCAAACCTTGACCCATTTGGAGAACACTCGGATAACATTTTGCTTCAAGTTTTGAGTCAAGTGCACTGGACTAGGATAACCGGGGAGATGCCCACGGACAGTTTAGATGCTTCGGTATCCAAAGAAGGGTTCAACTTCTCTCATGGGCAACGTCAGCTACTATGCCTTGCTCGCGCAATGCTCACGAAGCCAGCAATATTAATTCTTGATGAAGCGACCTCAGCCGTGGACAGAGGCACAGACGAGCTTATCCAGAATTCTATTCGGGCAAATTGCAAAGATACGACTCTGCTGGTCATTGCACATCGCATTCGAACGATAGCGGATTTCGATCGGGTATTAGTCTTAGAGAATGGAGAGGCAGTGGAATTTGGATCTCCGGCGTCCCTACTGGCAAGGAATGGGTTTTTTAAGCAGATGGTCATGGTGGATCCGAACCACGAAGAGCTGGAGAGAATGATGGGGAGGTGAATTCAGCAAATCCGTTAGACCACAGTTTCTGGGGAAACGTCGTTTCGTCGCGCAAGAATAAAGAGCATTATTTTCATTATTTGTGTAAATCCCTTTCCCGGTCCGCCCCCCTCTTGTAATCATTATTCTAGACCTCCCATTGTCTTGGGGCATATTGTCAAAATCTTGAACTCGGTGCGACCGCTACAACATACCTACGTATTTTAAGTACATAGCAAATTCCAGCAGATCCAGAAATTTCTCATAAAGAGAATGAAGTCGCAAAGTTCCATTCAGCTGTAGTGTTACGCAAGGTCCGCCGACGGGACACTTCCAGTGTGTCCCCAGTCACCGATATTCCCGGGGGAACCCACTCTTCGTTTCCGGGAGCTATAATATTATCGTAATTTGTATGCCTCCGCACTCGTCTCATCTTTAACAGCCTCTTAATATTGGCTGTTTTGCGGTAATAAAGCGCGCGTACGGTCGGCTTGTCGAGTCAAAAATGCGGCTTAGACGCAAGCACGTCGATAAACTAGACATCCTCGAAGCCTACCCGACCGCCTGAATTGAGGCATTTAAGTTAGAGACTATAAAGAATAGCTTCGACGCCGCTGGTTTAGTACCATTTAACCCCGATCGAGTGATCTCGAAGCTTAATATTTGCTTTCGGACGCCGACCCCCCCCCTTGAGCCGGGGTAGTGACTGGGAGCTAACTACACCCTCAAACTACGTACAATCACAAAAGCAGGCCTCTTCGATTAAAGCCTTGCTAAAACAGCGCTCAAAAAGCCCTCCGAGCCCGCTTAATTGCGCGATAAATCAGGTTTTCAAGGCCTGTCAAATCACGATGCAACCGGCAGCTATTCTCGAGAAAGAAGTAAGCGATTTACGAGCTGAAAACGAGAAGAAGAAGCAAAAAAGGACTCGTTCTACAAGGCAAATACCTTCCGAAAAGGGCCTCTCAGTTTTAGAGGCTTCCGCCTTAATAGTGCGGCCAGAGCAAGCAGTTTTAGCACCGATACCCCGCGAGGCAGGGTCAGCTCCGGCACCTTCTCAGCCACGTACGAGAGCCTTACCGACGTGTAGCGTATGTGGAATTAAGGGTCACAAATTAACTACATGTCCTAATGGACCTCGAGTTTAGCTTATTGAATTTAATGGCGTTATGGTTAAGATAATTGCATTTAAATTTAATGGGTAGTGGCTAGGTGGCCCACTCGCATGTGAATTACGTTAACTCATCATTTTATTTATTATGTCACTGCAAATTTACTAGTTAACGTTAAAATTACATGGTGAAACATGCTCAAACCAAGGCTTCGCCATTTTAGCGTACTGGAGACTGGACTTTACATTTTATTTTTTGAGTTATCGCCGAGCCGGTCTGTTAGTCAAGCCGAATACCGTTCAGTCCCAACAGGCGGTGCACAATATTCCCAACAATGCTGGCTCCACGTTTGAAACCAACAGTTCTCGATCATGGTTCAAATTCCATTCAACCGATTCCTCGTGGACACTTCTCACACTCGGTTCTCAAATCTGAGTTTATAATATATTTCTTTCTACAGCATAACTCTAGTACGACAAAAAGACAGGGACCTGCCACGCAGAAAGAGTTATTTAGGCAATGCCTGATTCTAAAGATCCCGAAAAACAAGGTTCTATGGATGGTCAGTTTATAGCAGGCCTCTACAAGGGAAATTGCCATTGCAAGGCTGTGCGCTTCTCTGCAAAACTGCCGTCTACGCTGTCACAATTGACAGTAGTCTCTTGCAACTGTATGTACACGCATGCAAAATACCCCCCCTAATGCTTATATTCCCCTGTCCTGCGGAGGAGTTTTACCTTGCGATTGACTGCCAGACTAAAAAAAAGCCATCTAGGTAGCTATTGTCATATTGCAGGCAGTCTGCTTGCGTTCACGGACGATATGGAGGTCCATCAAGGGACAAACTCGCTTAAGGTATGAATTACCTGAGCAATCGGTAGGATCAATGACCAATGTGATATAGGAATATCGGTTCGGCTCGCATACTATACAGATCTTCTTTTGCGGAATTTGTGGTGCCAATGTTTACAACAAATCCGTGAATCCAAAGTTCAGGTATGGTCAATGTGCTATTAACGTAAGTAAACTTTTCACTTATTGATTACCAACCTCTTCTATATAAACGACACCTGTTCATCGCCATGAAAGGGAGTGTACATAAGCTAACAGATATACTGGGATTTTACTTTAGATGCGCCTAGTTCAAAATATTGATTTGGGTGCCATAGAAACCAGCAAGGTTGATGGTAAGAGTATTCATCTGCCACCTTTGGAAGAAAACCCAGTTTAGACCCTGTCAAAGCACTCAATGAACTGTCTTAAAGGCTTTGAGCATACTGTAGGGTTTCTGCAAATATTTTGTTTTCCGTAGTGTCCAGACCTAGTAGCAACTTTTGCGGTGGTTATTGTACTTGTTGATGCGAAAAGGGTCCATGTCGTCTTAAAATATCGCACTTTTCCGCTATAATTCTCTTGTCTTCGCACCTCGAGCGCTAGTAATTCTATCGTATCAAAGGCCAGCAGTGGATGCCACGATTATGATATATGCTAGTGTGATTTCTCATGCCCAGAGGAAGACTTTTATGGCGGCGACTTTCGGGTAAGTGAGCTTTCACCAGTTCTTGTTTATTTTGGGCAAAACTCCACGATAAGCGGGTTCAAAGCACCATAAAAAAAAAGAAAACCCCAAATTAAAGCCACCCTTACCTAATATAACTAACCCCTGTGGATCCGATATGGCAGTCACCGACAATGACCATGATTGATTGTCTCCAGGTGACCTTGACTCGAGTCTCCGATGACAAACACAAAAGTCGAGACATAGTATTAGTTTAAATGGGAAAATAATTTACACATGCTTACAACTATTGGAAAGATCCTCCATCATTTCCTCTTGATGAGGAGCACCTGTTGTTGAGCAGCTAGCCAACGCAAAGTTCGGACCTGTCAGCCAGTCTGCCCATTCGGGCCCTAATTGCTGGTTGATAGACTGTATCATAAACTGACCAGCGTCGCTGAACATCCATGTATCTCGACGAGAATGCAATAGAATTGCATAATGTGAAAGAATTACTAGGGCCTCTGGCTTGCGTTCCGCCAAAAGATCAATGTATGCCGAGGGCACAACCACCGGCCAAGTGAATATACCCAGGGAGGTGGCCCCATTTTTGGAAGGGGCTTTTGCCAGTCGCAATGTCTCAATGGTCTCTTCGTAGTTGTGGGAAGTGGAAGGGTCGAGGCCGGACGTTCGTATGAGTTTGAACAGCCGGTTGCAATCCAGGTCCAAGCTAGTTTGCTGGTTCAATCGGGATGTCTGATCTTGTAAGATAGGCCAGAGTGGTGTTTCAGCCAATAAATCCCAGTGAGCACCTATTACTGTGCGGGATCCGCGATGTACACGAAGATAGTGAACAAAATTGTCGAGAAACTCATCGAAATTTCCACCTCGATTGATGAGAGTGTCACATAGCATGTGTAATCCAAGAAACGACGTGAAGAGAAAAAGCGGGACAACGGTTTCCGAATTGACTTCCGAATTCATTTCATGAAAGATTCTCAGAGCATGGGTCTGCAATTGAATGGCATGATGCCGATAAAAATCACGACGCTGAGCACAAATTGTGCTGAGGTGTAGAGCAGCTAAAGCAAGCAGCTCATTAATCAAGTAAGGTGCTGTTAAGCTGTGCTTCATCATCTCTGAAAGAGAGATATCCATGTCGCTCACATTCTCATGTAGCGATTTCAGGGTTTCAGTGGCTAATTGATGAAGCAACTCAATATGAAGCATGTTCACAGATGGACCCTGGAGATTCTCGGGATCGCAACCAGGACTGACCTGAGAAGACAAGGAAGTCACTGGGGAATTCGTTATTCGCCTCCTTGTGCTAGCAGAGGGCATGAATGTGATATCCCGTTCCGGGTATTCACATTCACGTGCAGAGTTGGTACACGGTGTACATGTCGGTCGATTCTCGTCACACTGACTGGCCCATCAGCAATAAGTTCAGCTGGTTACTTATGAAAAGCTATATGTACCTTGATTCGGCGCCGCTTGCAGACAGCGCAGCCTTGCCGGGATTTAGTGTGCGGTCGGCGTGGAGGCATATTCTCAGTGGCACAGAAAATAGACTGCGCTCTAAACAAGAAAAGAAAAGGGGGAAGATTCCTCAATTGTCGGAAGGATTTTTCGATGGGTGGCGAATCGCGATAAGAGCCTAGGAACACCGACCTCACTACGAACCTTAATTCTCGCTGGGTTCAATTTGCGATGACTAATTTTTTAATTTTTGATTCATTCGATTTGCAAAGAAGAAAACAACAGTTACTTTTGATGCGGCTTGACACGGACATACACACACACATTCTTATCTCTCCCTCTTTCTCTCTCTCTCTCTCTCTGTGTGTGTGTGTGTGTGTGTGTGTGTGTGCTATAATTATAAATTATAGCCATATCCATTATGCTAGCGTCGACCTTTGTATAATGATTGTGATTCCAAGAAATGCATCCTACAATTTCTAGAGTAAAGGCCCACCGTCAAACACCGTGATAAAGAGAAGGGAAATTGGAGTGGAAGGAGGAAAGTCATAGTCAGTAGGAGACAGTTTCGGAATCGAACCAAGCGTGATGATGTTGAGCTGTTTACCTTGACGGAACCAGTTGCTCCAGGAAATTTCTGATGAGAATACTAGAGAGCAAGATTTTACCCAGCATCGGCGCTGCGTTACATAAGTATTTGTGGCCTTGCGAGGCCCCCGGTGGTCCTGGCGTGCTGACAACTATACAATATAAGCATCAAATCAGAATCAATTCACTGGCTGAGAAACAAGAAATCAGTTTCACGTGAGATCAAGACCCAAAGAGGCTGTCAAGCATTTTCGGGTGGCTTTGCGCAACTAAAGGAGAATAAGGGTGTACATTTTATCTTATCCTGCACGAAAGTGAAAAGTATGAACCAGAAGATTGAATAGAGTGAAAATGAAAAGACTGAGCACGAAGTAATTATTGGAACAAAGGGAAAAAAGGAAAAAAGTTCGTTAACAGAAAACAATCACCCGACTATAAAAACACTCTCTATTTCAATAATTCGAAGGCGCTAGCCGCATTTATAGATACGTTAGAATATTTTGCTGACAGCTTCATGATGTCAGATCAAGCAGTCTCCTACCAAAGAGTGGCCCGAAACCAACTTTCGCATCTCACGTTGTGAAAGCGAATATTAGGGTTCGAAACAGGAAATCGAATGTGTAGTGGGACGCCAAATGCTAATTCAAAGGCCCGCATCAAATCAATTTCAGTAGTAAGTACGGTTTCACCCGTTGATCTCGCCATTTGGCAATTTTCAGCTACATACTTATCTGCTCTCCGAGAGAGACTACGCTCGGTTGCCAGAATAAGGCACTCTCCTAATTGAGACTCCATTATATCCGGATGATCTGCAGCCTTCAAATAATTGATGAAATCATAATCCGAAACCCTAGACAGGCAGCCTTTTCGTGATGAATTAAATGATTCTCCTTCATTCGGATGGCTGAAGAAGAGGAAAAACAACTTGGGACCTTAGTCGAAGTTCGAATCTGCGATTATAGATGTTTGACGAATCAAGTGTGGATAATTCCGCGTCCGAACAATCTATAAAAGTCTGTATGGGTTGCAAAAAAGCTATTCCTGTCTCTCCTAGGGGTGGGTCCCACTACGTATTCGCTTTTGCTTTCCCCTTTCCCCTAACTAATTCATATTCCACGTATTCGCTTTCCTTTTCTGGTTAGAACCTTATTACTCCCATCAAACTCTATCTCGACCCAAATACGAATAAATCGGTTTAGGTCTGCGTGCATGTAGAGTGAAGGCACATTGCTCCTTAACAACCATTCAGTTGTCTGCCTTTTTGTTTAAAAACAAAAAAATTGTAAGCTAGTGTGCATGTATACTTAAATAGAAGGCACCGAACGGTCAATTGACAAAAAGCAGTCATCATTATTCCGTTCTTTACTTAACTGTGCCCACTCTTCTACCCCCTCTCTTAGACATTCAGATTCAATTTGTCTTCTTCCATTCAAAATGGGATACAATCTTTACGCCTACTCTCCCTCGGTTGCATGTGCTGCTATTGCAACTGCTCTGTTCTTTGTGCTCACAATCAGCCACTTATGGCTGTTAATCCGAAATGGAACATATTTTTTCAGTGCGTTTGTTGTTGGCGGTTTCTGTAAGTTCTTTTTACTCAATTTTGCCATTGATTGGCATTATTGCTGCTATCTTCTCTTTCATCCTTCTCTAGCTACGAAGCAGCTTACTCACGAGATGTCGAGAGAATTTAGTTGAAGTTGTCGGTTATATCGCTCGAGCCGTGAGTGCCCATCAAAATCCAGATTATAAAGTCATGCCGTATGCATTGCAAAGTCTGTTCATCTTGTTGGCCCCGTCGCTATTTGCTGCGGCTATCTATATGATTCTTGGCCGCATTATTCGCTTAACAGAGGGCGACTCGCGATCAATCATTCGAGCCAAATTCATGACCAAAATCTTTGTTTTAGGGGACGTCCTTTCGTTCCTCGTCCAAAGCGGAGGTAAGTCTTATTTTCATCTTCATAAAGAATTAACATGAATTAATCAACTTGAAGGTGGTGGTATTATGTCGACATCTAATTCTCAAAGTCAGATGAAACTTGGTGAAAAAATGATCATTGTTGGTCTTGTTGTTCAGGTTCTCTTTTTCGGATTCTTTGCCGTTGTGGCCATCATTTTTCATAAGAGAATCAGCACACATCCGACAACTAACTCCCTGGGACTTTCCGTCCCGTGGAAAAAATTCCTCTTCGTACTATATGCGGCCAGTGGCCTCATCCTGATTAGGTGCTTGTATCGAATCATTGAATACGCGCAGGGTTCTTCAGGGACCTTGCAAAGCCGTGAAGCATATGCCTATCTTTTCGATGGAATTCTGATGCTAGGCATGATGCTTCTTTTCATTATATTCCATCCTCATCAGATACTTGGTGGCGCACAATATTCCTTGAAGATGGAGTATTCAATGTCATCACGCTTGGTTTGATGACGACACAATTTCCTCCCAAACTTCTTGCTGGTTTCTTCTTTCTGTTTTACGTGTAACGACAAGCTTTTTGATCGTTTAATGGTTCAAAGCTTCCAGAAGCAAGCCTATCTTCGTCAGAATCTAATTTTAAAATCATTCAGCTGCCTTTGTAGACGGTCTAGATTGAACAAGTTCACATCTCTTATCACTGGCCTTCTTTGATAGAAGATTCCATTTTGCTGTAACAGTAGAACATGGCATATTCAGCCAGCATTCGGCGAAACCAGCTGGAGAAACATTTGCTTCCTCCGCAAAAGCAAAAATGCTTACAGGAACGACATGCTCGTCCAAATCACCTCCAATAGCCACTGAAAAAAAAAAAAAAAAAAACATTGTAAGCGGATCGGAAATATGAGGAATCTATCATCTATGTAGAGATGATGTCTGATCTCGATTACAGTTGTTCATTGCTGAGCAGTAGATAGGTATAAAACATGGTTTAAGTGGGCTACAGATGTATATTGAGATCCATGCATGAATCGGTGGTTTATATCAGATATATGAGATATGAATCAGTCAGCGTAGATCCTTCTATGAAGAGTAAAGATCAGGGGAAGTTTATCTCATTTATATAGGGCCCTCCAATGAAAGAGAGATAAGACTTGAGTTATTTTAGGCAGTGACATTGCTAGGGGTTGGTGGATCATCGTGTGTACCTTTGTGTGCAAGCAAAGGCCAGCGTGTGAGTGGGGGAATGGATGTTTCGCTTTATCGACGGGAACTCGCAGATTGCTATTTTAATTTAGCACATCGAATATCACTTGGATACCTACTTTGTATGATATAGCGCACTTCGTGTACGAGTACGGGTACGATTACGGATACGGCGCATACAAATTTAGGCCATTTACTGCATATTCAAACCTCTTTTGCAACAGGTTATAGTAGCTCAGCAGTGCTTATATTGTGTTGAGGTGGCGTGCCTTGCATATAGCCGTAGGTATAGTTAAGTAGGTGCCCCTCGACCTGAAATCCCCCAAACAACTGTGACGGCATCAATCGATATCCCAGCTTCAGCATGCGCTTTTCCGAAGGTTCTAGCCTCATATATTTTGCCACTTCCCTGCAGTATGTTTTAGCTGTGGACGTGAGCCCAAAGCCCCCTCTTGGTAGGTACCTCGAGACTCTTCATTATCACATATCAGGCTAACCGTATTCGCGTAGCCTGGGCTGAGGCATCGGAGAAGGCTGACAGCTTTGTATCTCAGCTTAGCACTCCTGAGAAAGTCGGTCTAGTTACTGGAGCTTATGGCTCCGGTCTTCTACCTTGTGTAGGCACGATCGCGGCAATTGAACGACTTGGTTTCGATGGCCTATGTTTTAGTGATGGACCAGCTGGAGTAGCTCGCTCCGATGGTGTCAGCGTCTTTGCCTCTGGAATCACTGTGGCGGCGACATGGGACAGGCGTCTCATGTATGAGCGAGGATTGGCTCTTGGTCAAGAGTTCAGGGCCAAAGGCTCGCACGTGCATCTTGGGTGCGTCTCTTTTCAATGATCTGTTTTTCTGTCTCCAACTAATACAAACAGACCTTCAACAGGACCTATGGGCCGCCATGCCCGAGGTGGGCGGAACTGGGAGGGCTTTGGGCCAGATCCCTATCTGGCTGGCGTCGCCATGAACGAGTCTGTTTCCGGTATTCAAGCAGCCGGTGTCCAGACAGCCTCCAAACATTACATCGGCAACGAGCAAGAGACGCAACGCGTCCCTAGTACTCGTGAGGATGGAACTGTTATCGAAGCTATCTCCGCAAACATTGACGACCGAACCCTTCACGAGCTTTATGTTTGGCCATTCGCTAATGCCGTGCACGCAGGGACATCGTCTGTCATGTGCGGCTACAATCGTCTCAATGGGAGCTACTCATGTGGAAACTCGGAAATACTGCGCACTATTCTCAAAGATGAATTGGCGTTTCCTGGATACATTGTATCGGACTGGGATGCTACGCATTCAACAGAAGACACTGCAAATGCAGGGTTGGACATGGAGATGCCAGGAAATCAGACCGTGAGCGGCGTGTATTACTTCGGCGATTCGCTCATTGAGGCTATTGATGCGGGTCGTGTGTCAGAGGATCGCCTTGACGACATGGCAAGCAGAGTTATGCTATCATATTTTCGGCTTGGTCAAGATGTGGGTTTTCCCACTCCGGACCCTTCCAGCGGGGCTTCGTTCCTCACCTATACGTACGGCCGCGGCTCGCCTTTGTCTAGCCTTTACCCTGAAGTCCCTGCACGAGATGTTCGTGGCAATCATGCGCGAGGTATTCGTGAATTGGGCGCTGCAGGCACAGTGTTGCTCAAGAACATGAACGGAACTTTACCTTTTACCAACGAGACGGGTTTTGCAGTCTTCGGAAACGATGTGTCGGATCCAACACTCGGCTCAGTATATCTCGTCTACGACGACAATGCTGTGGGTAACGAAATAGGTACTCTTGACATAGGCGGTGGATCTGGCACAGTTCGACATACCAACCTCGTGACCCCGCTCGAGGCCTTACGGAAAAAGGTGGACTCCATTGGTGGCCGGATACAATGGCTGTTTGACAACAATGAGATTGCGGACGGACGTTTCCGGTCAATTTATCCACTACCCCAAATCTGCTTACTATTCGTCAAGGCTTTCGCAACAGAAGGAACTGATAGAGCAAATCTTGACTTCCAATGGAACGCTACCATGGCAGTAGAAAGCACAGCAGCGCTATGCCCGAACACCATTGTTGTAACACATGGCCCCGGAGTGGTCCTCATGCCTTGGGCTGACAATGAAAATGTGACAGCGATTTTGGCAGCGCATTACCCTGGGGAACAGACTGGAAACTCCATTACCGATGTTCTTTGGGGCATTGTCGAGCCCTCCGGCCGGCTTCCTTACACCATTCCGAAATCCGCTTCAGACTATGGGCCACCACTCGTCGAGTTCCCAGAAAATGTTACAGATCCGAATGCATGGCAAGCCGATTTTGTCGAGGGTCAAATGATTGATTATCGACATTTTGACGCGAACAACGGCACAGAGCCACTATATGAGTTCGGTTTCGGACTTTCTTACACCAACTTCGAGATGGGACAAAAGCTACATGTCGACCTAATTGATGGACCATTAAGCCGGGTTGCTGACCAGTCCAAAGGTATTGCACCAGGTGGACTGGTAGACCTATGGACCACCGTTGCTGTAGTGACGGTGAATGTGACGAACTCAGGCCACCGGGCAGGCTTCGCTGTGCCGCAGCTCTATGTATCGCTTCCTCAGGCCACTACTCCTGCAGGCACACCAGTGAAAGTTTTAAGGGGATTTGAGAAGGTATTCCTCGAGGTGAACGAAGTGCGGGAGGTGAGCTTTGAACTCATGAGGAGAGACTTGAGTTACTGGGACGGAACTACAAAGCAGTGGGTAATTCCGGAAGGGTCTATTTGTTTCGTGTCAGGGTTCAGCTCGAAGGACTTGCACGCAAGGGCTGAGGCAATAGCTTTAGGGTAGGCTCCTCTTTGAATTGAGAAGGTTGGGCAAAGATTGAGAGTACTCCGGAGAGTACTCCGAAGTTGTACATACCTTAGGTCATCCTTCTATTGAATCACAGCGTGGGATGAGTTATTTCATTCTATTTGCTCTAGCTCGACAAAATACAATCAAATTGGCGTGTAGGCAGACGTTATATACTTCTCTGTCAAAATGTATACCTGGTTAAGGTAGTCCCGCCGAGAGTGTGGCATCGAGGAGACCGATAATCCTGAAGCATTGAAACCGCTAAAGTAAAGAATTACGAGACTTCGGAAATTCAGGGGCAGATACCAATATTCCCCGAATCTCTACTCTATCCTTACGGGCAAGGCATATACAAGATGGGCTGTTGCATCTATCCTGAAGGCGAAGGTTGCGGCAAGGACCAGTTACATAGTTGTGTGGTTTGATTTGTTTGCTCTTCGCTATGCAATGGCCGACACAGAAACAACAGAAACCAATTTCGGTCAAGACTTGCTGGTTATCGCCCACGCTGCCGATCATGGTGAGTTAGCCCCCACCAATGCCTAGAGAATGGTTCATTAACGGTCGCCTTAGTTTACAAAGCTCGACTCGGGATTGCTGAAGGTGCGAACGAGCCTAATTCTCAGGCTAAGGAAGCGACTATAGAAACCCCTCCGACTCCACAGGACACTCGTGGGTCCTATCGACTTATGAAACAGACAGGGAAGGAGGGACCTAGTGTATCTCAGCAGCACCAAGAAACTGAGCTAACACTCGCAAGCAAGCTGTATATCGAGTCATAACGGTAACTGACATTTTTAGCGACTTTCGGCGTTCAAATTATTCCGTGCCGTACCGAGACAGCTGGTGGGGTAATCGGATGCTTGACAGTCGTTTTGCGTAGCGCTGTGAAGGGAAGGGCATGGGTTAGGCTGTTGGCAGAGCAGCTTGGCAGCCTATGGCCGCGTCATTGATACGAGCGGCAAGGCCAAAGTAATTAGTCGCCGAACTATTTGGAGGCTCAAGAGGCCCTTATCCAATCGGTGATGTGACAGGAGAGAGCCTACTCCAAGTCCGTGGGCGGCGCTTAGCAGGCCTCATTGCCTTGCCTTGACATGCCTCTTAGTGATCTTTGGTATTTTAGATCTCTACTCGAGGCTAGAGGGCAGTGCTAGAACTACGCCACGGTAATTTATGGACCATCAGATGCTGTAACTTCTTGATTGGACGCCGCTCAGGTGCTCTCTTCCCCGCTGTTCTCATCTAAGCACTAATGCTCTGGCACGCCAGCTCATTTATGCCGGCTACCCAGGGACTGGTCCTCCTCTTTCCCACTGTGACCTCCTGAAATCAGGGAACTTCCTGGTGCGGAGGAACGTTCCGGAGGAACGTTCTGGTTAGTTAGTATAGGATCGAGGGACCTTCCGGTAGGCATCCAGGAACCTTCCTGGATGCTCTGCAGGCATTCCTGCCTGAGGCGAAGCCTCGGGCAGTATATAGAGGCTCTAGATCCTCCCTCCTAGATAGCCTTTCCTCTCCATGGGAAAATCCTTGACTACGAGTCAAACAAACTTGTCTTTTACTAAGCTCCTTTGTAGACCGTCACACCCACGCTGGTTTTGAGGTATAAATTCAAACCCTTTATCTCGTTTTCTTTTCTTGGCTAACATGAAACCCTCGCATATTAGTTTTTCACAATAACTTAATTCACCCATGGCCCCACAGGCATTTTACTATGCGGTTTATAAAGGTCGTGTTGACAAGCCTGCTATATATTGTTCTTGGTAAATGAAATGAATCCGGAAAAGTGGCGCTTTTTTCGCTGATGTCCTATCTGTGTAGGAGCCAAGCGCATCCAAGAGTGATTGGATGCGAAGGCGCTGATCATGAAAAGTTGAAAACACTCGATGCCGCCCGCAAAGGAATGGTCCAAAGAGGAATCAAAGATTTTGATATGCCCATCGAAAACCCCGCCAAACGAGATACCATGCCAGTGAATAAGGGCAAACACTGGGCTGTAGCTGGTGGCAGAGCTACTGGCATTTACACCGACTGGAAGTAAGTTTCATTTCTTCCGTATGCAAAGTCAATATCTAATTAGAATAGGAGTGCAGAAAAAGCCATCAACGGGACAAAAGCCTGCCATGAGGCTTTTAGCTCCCAGGAAGAAGCAGAAGATTTTATTGCAAGTTGGAAAGATGCCTTCGCTGACGTATCGCGACTGGCCATCAGACAAGCATTAGAGAACGGATGGAAGCCTCGCAATATGAAGTTTAATGTTGAGTCCTTTTTAATTAGAAACAATGAGAATATGATGGGGGAAAACGACGAAGAGGTCAAGTTGTGTGGGATTGAAAAAGAGGAAAACCTTAACCTTTCAGGCTTTGAAAAGTTGGCTATCAAAGAAGAACATAAGATATGAAGCTTCGTCTACTGGACCCTGGATCTACAATCTATTGATACGTTCTGAATTACACCCGAATATACAAACAAAAAGAATTATCCCTAAGGCCATAAATTACCGAGCTCGTAATCGCTTTGACCGACGTGGCGTATGTTTGATAGTTTACGCATTCATTTTGCCTGATCGTCCTTTACCCCTCTGCCGCCCCCCCCCCCCCCCCCCAGGCTGCTCTTCTGGGCGCCCTCTTTATCGAGACGAGCGCGTCGCAAGCTGTGATGAAGATCCCAGCCTAGGACCAGGGTTCTGGATATGCCGCCTGTGTGGCTCCCCTCGTCACTCGCCGTGTTGAAATCTCCGCCAACCTTGAATCGGTGCTCGTTGTTTGACATCTAGAAGAGGAGGCGGAAATGTCAGTTTTTGACGGGCAGGTTGATGGCTTCACGACGGTAATAGGGCCTAGTCTTATCATTCGTGGATCAATATTTGTCATATCAAAATCGACTGAGGAGGCGGGAGTTTCAGTGTCTTGTCGATTCTCTGGAAGGACCGTCACCGTGGCTAACCCGTGGCCTTTCGGTGGGATGACATAGTTTAATATTGATATCATATTTGTGTTCTTTATTAGCTTGGGCTAAAAATTCGGTGATTTTGGCAAACTTGGGAAAAGTGCGACATGCTTCCCAGTTGCAGCTGATCCCGTCGTGTGCATGAAGCAGATGAGAGTCTATGAGATGACGACGAAGTTGAAGAATTTGTTTCTGTTGGCAAGGATCAGTATCGAAGTTGCTTCATGAGAAATTCAATTCAAAATTTCAGCTTACCCATCAGCGCCTTCCGGTCGACCTTTGAGATCACGAAACTGATGATAGCACAGAGGACATCACGTTTACTTTCAGGGTCTTTCAAGTAAAAAAAGTTCAATATCGCGATAGCAGACCGAGTCCGGAAGATCTTTCAAGGAAATGTGCTTTGGAAGATCACTCTGGAAGGTGCCATCCCGTTTGCGTTTGCCCAAAGCTGGAATGCCAGGTGATGAGGTGTCTTGAGGAAGCAAGACGCTAGGTTGCGTGCCTGTGATAGCGGACCGGAGCTGGACTGTAGCAAACTGAACAATCATGCTCCCGTGACGAAAAAATCTCGAATGGACCCAATGATGCCAGTACATCACACCATAAACATCTACATCTAGAGTGTGTTTGTCCTTCGTTCGTCGGAGGGTTCTGCGCCCGGCTGGAAACACACCTGCGAGAAACTTTCAAGATTAGCATGCTCTGTTTAGAGGCATAAGGGACATTACTTACTCGTCGCATCTGTTTATGGGCATCCTCACTGACGCGGCGGCGGGTGAACAGCTCGAAGTATTGGCAAAGGCGACGCCAGTTTTTATCATACGACTGAAGCAGTTTCTCTCGTGACGTTTTGGACATCCAGTCAAAAAAGTTCATGTAGATCGTCTGATCTTCTAAAAGAAGATAATCCACGTAGTCCTCGTTCGATTGGATACAAAATCTAGCTTTCTTTGTTATTTCCTAATCACGAAGCTTGCTTCGAGCAAGTGTGCACTAACTTTCGCCAATAGTGTTCGATGACAGCAATATCTAATACTGTCTTTGGTCTGAAATTTGGAGGGAGCCATCCAAGATTGCGAAAATGTTCCAGTCTGGCTAGAGTTTCCTCGCAAAGAATGGGATCGGTCCAGTATTGGTGCTCATCGGTTTGAGCCGGATGTGCAGGCGCAGGTGCCATGGAGGCGGTCAGATACAAAGAGGGTGGAAAAGTTGTGTTGTGGGAAACGACAATGTCAAGGTTGGCTCGAGGCGTGGGCAACGAGGATGAGAGAATGGGAGGTGCAAGGACACCGAAAGGGAGGGAAGGCGAGGCATCTTATAGTTGCTCAAATGAACTGGGCGAAAAAGGAGGGGACTTGGATTAAGCTGAAGGGGAGTCATTTTCGGCCTCGTTTTGATCGCTGGTGGAAACGAGGGGAACAACTGTGTAAGTCAAGCGTCAACATCATGACCGGAGAATGCTGGGCGGGTGCAGAATAGTGATGTTACAGGGTAGTGGGCGGTCAAGGGGCGGCTGGACGTCCAAAGTTACGGGTGGAAAGGCAGCCGTTTCTGGCCTCAAAAGCGGTCATTTTCGGCGCCAATCCCACAGGTCCTCATATTCTATGTGTAAACCAAACAAAGGCCAGACTGCACTCGAATTTATACTATGAGAGAAATCCCTAGAAAGCATAACCCGGTAAAGTCGAGATACGCTAGCATGATCCCATTGACAATGACCCAATGACTGGGCTCCCAGTTCTGTAAAAGCCTACAGCATCTCCACGTCGAACCCCTTCAATGACGGCAAAACCGGGCGGATCTCCGCATGATAAGCTGGAATTCCGCCTGTCCAGTTCAGCTGCTCGAACGGTTTTCCGGGGAATGTTCCACCCATGTACGTTGACCTTGTGGTTGGAAACAGTGTTGGATTTGACAAAGCTTCGATGCGATGCTTCCACGCATGCGCAGCAGCTCCGGTTGCATTGATTGATTTGATGCCACGACGCTCCATTTGCTTGATTGCGTCGATGACCCACCGTCCCTGTACTTCGATGCATGTCGGTCCATTACTCAAAGCTGTCGGGGCATGGGGACCGTATGTTGTAAAGAGGTTTGGGTAGCCACTAATCGTCATGCCAAGGTAGGTTTGAACCGATGCAGCCCATTCGTCTTTAAGCTCTCTCCCTTCGATACTGCGGAGACCCATGTTGACCAAAGCCCCAGTAGATACATCAAAACCAGTGGCAATGCAGATTGCATCGAGGTCATAGTGGGTACCATCAGCCAGTTGAAGACCGGTCTCGGTGATGCGTTCTATAGCGTTGTTTCGGATGTCAACAAGTTCGACCGTGGGTCGGTTGAACTGCTCAAAGTAATCAACCTCCAGGCTGGGTCGTTTCACGCCCCACGGATGTAGAGGCTCGAGAGGCGCGAGGAGATCTCGGGTAACGGGGTCATCAATGCGCTGGCGTACCCTCTCGGCCCAGAAGTCATAGACCACGCGATTAGCTTTGGCATCATGGAGACTATCTTTGTAATTGGCAACCCATAGTCGGAAACCACCAAGTTGCCACAGTCTTCCAAGAAATGCCTGTTGTTCTTGTTCGTTGTCTTCGAATGTGCCTCGCTCGCTGAAAGTGTAATGGAACCCCCCGAAGGCTTTTTCGCGAAGTGAGAAGAGCTCCGGGTAGATGGGTTTCAGCTGCTCCTGCTCCTCGACAGTCAAGTCCCTTCGTCGCATAGGAACAGCCAGATTTGGAGTTCGCTGGAAGACCTTGAGCGAGCCAGCAACGGGACCGAGAGCCTGGGTGAGCTGGACACCGGAGGCACCTGTTCCGATCACGCCAACACGCTTGCCCTTCAAATCCACACCTTCTTCAGGCCAGAAAGATGAATGATGTATAACTCCTCGGAATGACTCAATCCCCGGCCAGTCCGGAATATGTCGCTTGGCAGCGAATCCGGTGCTGACAATCAGGTACTTGGCTGAGGCCTTTCGACCATCCGTAGTAGTGATCTGCCATCGTCCCGAAGGCGTGTCAAAGCTTGCCCCATTGACAAATGTGCCGAAAGAACAATCTTTCTTAATGTTGAGCACGCGCTCTACGTGATCAAAGTAGGCACGGATCTCATCGTACGCCGGATAGTTCGTAGACCAGGTCCAGTCTTTCCAAGTTTCGGGGATCGAGAACTGGTATTCGGGAATTTCGGAGTCAACTCTCGCACCGGGATAGCAGTTCCACCGCCAGGTGCCGCCGATATCATGGCCGGCCTCGTAGATGATAGCTTTGAGGCCCAGCTTGCGAAGCTCGTGCAGGTAGTAAATGCCGCTAAACCCGGCACCGACAATCAATGCATCCAGTTCGAGATTGTCGGCGTTGGGGCCGCTCGAGCCCTGTCGGTCTGCAAACTCACGAATATCGGTTTTCATGATGGAGAGTGGGCCGGTCAATAGCAACATTCGGATGAGAAGGGAGGCAGTATTTGTAGGCGTGGGTGACGAGCATCCCCTCTCGACCGTAACACACGAGTGACGCCACTATGCACCCTAAGACAAACCCCTCAGTCAGCTGCGACAAGTATTGGCTCATAACTTCAGAAAGAGTACTGAATTATACCAAATAGACAGGGGGGCCCCTGCATACCCCGCCTGATTGGAAATGCGATGGAGATAACAAATAACCTGCAGAAAGTGCAACTGAAGGCGAGGGACGGGCTACATCGGCCATTTGAGTGATGATAATGAGTAGATGAGATCTCCAAGTAAGATAATATTTAAGTTAAGTCCAAAAACTCAATCTGGTCCGTCGGAATCCGCTCCCAGGTGTTACTTAAATAGTAAACTGTGTTTCAAGAGGGAGATCTCGACTGGATCGGCCAACAAACACATTATACGTGCCATTCTGCAATCGCCACTGCTGAGCCTGGACATCCCAGGTGCTGAGATCCCGTCGGGTGAGCGAGAATTCAACCTTGGTTGTAGAGTCCGCTGAGACATGCACCTTCTCAAATCCTCGCAGCTGGCGAACGGGACCGTCCGGGATGCTTAAGTACAGCTGGGCCACTTCATCACCGTCCCGCTTGCCAGTGTTCTTCACTTCTGCAGACACAGTGACCAGCTCATCCCAGAGATGGGGGTTCCCGCCTTCTTGGATAGCAGCCGAGGGTGGATAGGGGCTGGTGTCCGTGGTAACTATATCAACTTTCAACCCCGAGTAATCGTAGGTCGTGTAGGATAACCCAAAGCCAAACTCAAACTGCGGGTCGATCCCTTGTCGATCAAACGCGCGGTAGTCGATGTATACGCCTTCCACGAAATTATCCTGCGGAAAGAGCCCATAAGGTTCACTCGCTTGGGTTGGATGGAGTAGCTTGCCATAGTCCTCGGCATTCTTTGCCACGGTATACGGCAGTTTACCTGACGGATTAGCTCGACCGTAGAGAAGATCCGCCACCGACCGTCCAGAATCCTGTCCGGGTAAGTGGGCGAAGAGTACAGCAGTGACATTCGGATGATCAATCCATGCGTTCACTAGGCGAATTCCCGCGTTGTGGATAATAACCACCGTGTTGTCACACTTGTTGGCAACATTTGTGACCAGTTCGTCGCTTGGCTCGTGGAACAAGCCCTGGCGGTCATAACCTTCGGTCGCGTAACTGTTGATGAAAACCAGACAGGCCTCAGTGGTTGGATTGACATCAGGATCTTGTGATGCTGTATCCCATAGAATGGATGTACCGTCTTGGTACGCCTGTTCCTGAAGAGCGTCCAAGGGCGCGCTAATGTAGGCCGGAGCGTTGTACCCTGACCCTCCACCGACGTACAAGGTGTGGTTCTCTTGGATCGCAGGACTAAAGCTTTGGAGCCCCAAGGCCAATTGTAATGTGTCAGGACCCTTTGCATCATAGCCAAATACCGAGATCAGCTTGGGGAACTGGAGTGGGAGGGCGTTGTTGGTATTTTTGACTAATACATGACCCTCGACTGCGCTCTGCAGGAGCGTTTTCTTGGAATCGGCCGACTTCCCAATAACTGCTTGGTGAACTGCGTTGAGGTCCTTGGGCATGCCAACACCCGAGCCCGGGAAATCGGTATCCTGGTTTAGCTGGTACCATGTCGCAAGAATTCTATCTTTGTCAGCGTGACAACGTAAAGATCAATAAAAGACGCTCTGCTTACCGAGTCACCATGTCATCCAGTCGAGATGCCTTCATGGTTCCATTAGCTATCGCTTTGGTAAGGTTCGACCCCCAGAGTTGTGTCTGCGGCATGACCATGTCGAGTCCAGCATTGGCGGCAGCAATTCCACCGTGCTGAGCGCCCCAGTCAGTAATGACATATCCTTTCACCTGTTAGCTGAAGATATACCACTGGACCAATGGGCATCCTAACCTTGAAAGCCGAGTTCCGTCTTTAAGAGGCCGTTGAGAGTTTTACTGTTCTGGCACCCGTACGAGTTGTTGATGCGTTGGTACGAGCACATGATGGATGCTGATCCTGCACGGACAGCGTCTGCAAATGGCCACAAATAAAGCTCATGCATAGTCTTGTCATCAACATTCGATGAAAGGGCAGCGACATTGCGACCATTGAGCTTCTGGGGGTTGCGGTAGGTCTCCTGCTCATTGAGTATGTAGTGCTATGCGAATGAGCATTCAAAACGAAACGCTTATCCCCGAAGTGAGCATTCTTACCTTTGTGGAAGCAGCAACACCGGCTGACTGTATTCCACGAATTGTCTCATAGACCAAAGCACCACTGAGATAGGGATCTGTTGAGTATCCTTCCCAGTTGCGGCCGCCTTCAACGACTCTGCCAATCGGACCAATTACTGGGCCCAATAATAGGTGAACGCCTTTATTACGGAACTCGCTACCCATATGAAAGGCCCTCTGTCGGGACAGGTTTTTGTTCCAGCTAGCCGGGTTGATTAGTCGACGCAGCAAAAAAAAAAAAAAAAAAAAAAAAAAAAAAAAAAAAAAAGGGTACATTTTTTTTAAAACCAACATTGAACCGGCAATTATACCGCTACACAACGCGTTTAAGGAGTGGGGGCAGCGC